TAAAAGTTTAAAATTAGAACTAAAGATTTTATTATGGTGCTATTGCAATAAACTCAAAATTAACGTGTGTGAAGTAATCTACGGGTGGACAGCTATCAACGAAGTAGAAGTTGATAATGACAGGGAGAGTGTTTTAGATGTTAAATTTTGAACTGGGTGCAGTGTGACAGCGACGTGAGTGTTATACACCTGATGATGGCCGTCTGAGGCCGAAACATGTAGTGTAGGGAGCAAGATCAAAGACACAAATATATTGTTTGCACTTGAGACGGAGTTTATATCATTTATCATATACTTAAGTTTTCCAAAACAAATTCCTGAAGAGAATATCTGGACCTAATGCGGGTGGAGTTATAATGGACAGAATAAAAATTCATAATGGAAAGCTGTATAATTGGTATACTCTTCATCTGACACTCGTAGTCCAGACACACAGCACAANTATCAAAGTTATATGAAGTTATTATATAATAGCATCTTGTTGCGCATCATTTATTATTCAAAAAAATGTCATTGGTTCACCGTCTCACGTGCAACGCGTCCTTCAAAAACTTATATACATTTTCTTACATCACACAATGCGGCTTTTTAACCCTTATTTAAAAGTTTCTGTGCATTGAACTACATGAAGAAAGCAGTCTTCTGGGATTTGGCACCGTGTATATGTGGTGTTAACCGACGTTTCGGAGGAACGTATAGCCTCCATCTTCAGGGTAGACGAAAAAATATAAGAAATAGCTTATAGAATAGAAATAAGCAGTCTGCTTTTACCGTTTCTCACGGTCTCTTCGCTTGCAGATTTCTTATATTTTTTCTTCTACCCTGAAGATGGAGGCGATACGTTCCTCCGAAACGTCGGTTAACACCACATATACACGGTGCCAAATCCCAGAAGACTGCTTTCTTCATGTAGTTCAATGCACAGAAACTTTTAAATAAGGTTTAAAAAGACGCATTGTGTGATGTAAGAAAATGTATATAAGTTTTTGAAGGACGCGTTGCACGTGAGATGGTGAACCAATGACATTTTTTTTAATAATAAATATTGCGCAACAAGATGCTATAATATAATAACTTCATCTAACTTTGATAAGGGGATACGAGGTAGCGTACTTGATTGAGGCACTATGCTGCAAGCCAGAAAGTCGCGGGTTCGATTCTCCATGTCATTGATTTTTTTTTTTCAATTTACCCAATCCTTCCATCCGCAATACCGCCCTTGGGTCGACTCTCTAACAGAAATGAGTACCAGGAATCTTCCTTGGGGTTAAAGGGCGGCCGGCGCGTAAGGCTGACAACCTCACCGCCATCTATGAGCCGATTGTCTACAGAAAATGTGGGATCCTCGACGTCTCACACTCCTATGAGCCTTTACGGCCTGTTACAGGGACACCTTTACCTTTCACCTAACATTGTTAACTAACTCCATTGGGATGAGGACAGACTTAGAGTCACAGAGTTAATCAAGAAATTTCAAATCCACATCCTTACACTTTATTTCATTAAGACCAATTTTAATATCATCCTCCCAAACGCATCTTACTCTTCAACGTGATTTTTCCTCAGATTTTCCAGAAAACTTTGTATACATTTATCGTCTCACACAATGCGTGCAATGTAACAAACCAATATAATCCTTCTTGTCAGCTAATGCTGTCAGGGCGATTAGAACAAGTCGACTGAGCTCCGATAGAAAACGAGAACTATAATGTAAATATTTCTGACACATGGTCAGGCAGGTCGTCTTCATATTTGTGATTCGATGGGGTACAACTAAAAACAGAAATATTCTCAAGAACAAAAAGTCAGTTTCGGTGAAAATTGTAAAATAATTATAAAAGAGGGCTAGTGTTAAATGTTACTGCCTCTGTGGTCTAGTGGTCAAAGTTTCTGGCTACAGATCCAGAGGTCCATGGTTCGATTTCCGGTGCTACAAGATTTTCTGAGAAGTACTGGGTCTGGAACGGGGTCCACTCAGCCTAGTGAGGATACTTGAGGAGATACTTGAATGGAAACGGCAGTAGGAATCCGTTACGCTGACCACGTGACACCCTCTATCCGCAAAATTTAGCACTAACTTAGCCGATACGTGGCGGTCACTAGGTCGGTATAGTTCTCTTGCAAACTACAGGCCACGGAGTTTGTTTTTGTTTTGGAGTGTCAAATGTTATTTAGAAGTAACACTCGAATCCCGGCCGAGGTGAAACGTCATAAAGTTTTTCGGTATATCTTGGCATAAATGATAGTCTCAACTGATGGTACGCAAGAATTCCGACATTCCAAACCAACTCTACACTGCAGGGTCTTTCTTCCTCAGCTGCTGTTTGTTCACCTGCCTAAGGAAACCTCTGACATTATGGAAACCGAAGGTCACCGCCGTATCAAAAAAATCAGGTCATTAGCTGCCATACTGAGTCACTTCACATTTTGAAACACATTAGCCATTATTATACTATCTCCCTATGTCTACCAGCTGGTAACTTCTTTCCAGCCAAAACTTTGCGTGCAATGTGCAACTGATTCTTAGCGTTTTCTCCTCGCTCTGCCATGTCATCTTTATCGATTTAATGATCCTAAAGTTATGCCAACAATATCCCATAAATTATGAAGTGCCGGTCACGGTAGCCGAGTGGTCTAAGGCATGTACTGTCTTCGCTCGCTTGGAAACCGAGATCGTGGGTTCGAATCCCACTCAGTGCATGGATGTTTAGTTTGTGTGTGTGCGTTTTTCTGTGTTTGTATACAGGCAGAGGCCTTGAGACGAGCTGATCACCCGCCCAAGGAGTCCTACCAAATGTGTAAGATCTAGAAAAACCGAAGTGAACGGAGAAGTTCATGGAGGTAGGCCTAGGCCCACTGGGGCTGTAGTGCCAAGGAAAAAAAAA